TTTCTGTTGTTTTAAAGTGCATCACTGTAGTCTATGCAGATCAGAGGAGTTAGGCCTCTTTCACAAGTGTGGCAGGCTCTACCAGCCCTCTGTAAAGAGATCAAATGTGGATTGCTTTTTCAGATGTGGTTTAGAGCTGGTTTACAGGTGTTCAGGAGGTGATAATGTTGCCCATCCATTTTTTTATTTCAAAGGGCTATTTTGCATTAGAATATCATGCCACAACTGCATGCCAAATACAATTGCTGCACTGTGAAGCATCATGGCCCTAGCAATGTGAACAGACCTGAGCAGCCGGAATTTCACATTGTAGGTAGGTGGTCAAGGGGTGGTAAACATGCAGATCAACTGCTTCTTTATCTGCCATTCCCTGGCTGCCTGTATGAACTTAGTGTGAATAAAACTGATACTACAATCTTTGTTTAAATGTTGTCATTTGACCTTCCATATTGATGTGATCCTGGAATTCTATCATTTTTGCAGAGCATAAAACACTTTACTATAAAAGTAATATTATTACTATTATGATATGTAACAAAATAAATGTCTGCTTGTAGACAAATTTGATTTTGCGTGCGCCAGCATTTTTATGTATACTTTAAACATTTTTTTTAATTGTAAAAATATGTTATAAAGATTCACATTATATATTTACCAAACTTGATCTAAATTATTAATTGGTTTTATATATTTATATGCTATACGTGAAATTTTTAAACATGGATGTGTACTAATTTGTATTTAAATAAAAAGATAAAAAGATAAAGTATAGACAGATGAACATTTATTAATCCTGCTGCATAACAAGGCAATGCTAAATTGAAGACATGAGACAGATTATGCGATTGATTTTCTACAAGATTACAGCTTGAATTATACATTTTTCCCACAGCTGCTGTACTATAGTATTGCTGAAGGAAATGTGACCTTGACCAATTCCTAATTGTCCAACTGTTTTTAGTAAATCTCTGTCCCATTTTCAGTAATAAATCGGTTTCAGACATTTTCATATCAGTTGCTCCTGATTGCCCAGGAATACAGGTCCCAAATACAGAGGAAAACCGTTACATAGATTTTGCTAAAATAGATACTGGAGTTGATTTCCTAAACTGGAGAGTACAAAATCTGGTGCAGCTCTGCGTAGAAACCAATCAGCTTCCAGGTTTTATTGTCAAAGCTTAAAGTGATTCTAAAGGCTTACATTTTAAAAAAAATACCAAACTTGTCTATACTTAACTGCTGTGTGCAGGAGTTCTGCACAGAGCAGCCCGGATCCTCATCTTCTCGGGTCCCCCGCCAGCACACCTGGCCCCTCCCTCCTGTCGGGTGCCCCCACAGCAAGCAGCTTGCTATGGGGGCACCCGCTGCCCCGTGTATCCATTCACACATGGAGCCGCGGCTGGCCCCCCCCCCCCTCTCTTCTCATTTGCTCTCTGACTGTGATTGACAGCAGTTGGAGCTGATGGCTCCCGCTTTTGTGTCAGCCAATGAGGAGAGAGAGTCCTGGGATAGCTGAGATAGCAGTGCACATTGCTGGATCAAGAGGGGGCTTAGATGAGTAATATGGAGGGCTGGGGAGGATGCTGCACATTGCTGGATCGAGAGGGGGCTTAGGTGAGTATTAGGGAGGGCTGGGGAGGATGCTGCACATTTCTGGATTGAGAGGGGGCTTAGGTGAGTATTAGGGAGGGCTGGGGAGGATGCTGCACACAGAAGGTTTTTTTACCTTCATGCATAGAATGCATGAAGGTAAAAAACCTTGAGCCTTTACAACCACTTTAATTGAACAAGCTGCAGTTAGAAGCTGATAGGCTACAGCTGCACCATATTTTGCACTCCCCAGTCTTAGTAAATCAATCCCACTGACTGATTTGTATTTGTGCCACTAATTTGCCGAATGTGCACCACTCCAGACCTGCCGCTCATGCATCTACTGTGGATAACCAAGGTGCTGGCTCAAAAAGCCCATCTTTTGCTTGCCATCCAGAGACACCAATTCAATTCTTTATTCAACCACTAATTGTATACGCTTATCTATAGTGTCCCTGCCCAGGGATCACCCTTCCTTTAATGTGTTTCACTGCTGATGGCTTGATTGCAAGGATAAGGGTTGCCAGGGAGGAGGAGTAATTTATACACTATATCATCAAGGCCATCATAGCCTCCCTGCACTGTATGGAAAACCACATGTGTGCCATTGAACTCCATAATGAAATAACTCACAATGCAACCAATCTATCTCTTACTCCCAAATCAGAGATTCCAGTTCACAAACTTCAAAAACCCATCAGAGCTCAAACCTTCATTGGGACCAGATCCGCCCCAAGATTTACATATAGGTTTAAAAAATATTCCCCTCCAAGCAAGCAGAATTGCACACAATTCTGGACCCTCTTGTCAAAATGTGTTTTACTGTGTCTTCATTTAGTGGTAAATGTCACCACCATCACCAAATGTCTGAATTTTTTTTTTTTTGATTGTCAAAGGAAAACTGGCCCAAACAGTAAAACAAAAAACAAATTTTTTTAGCTGTATATTTTTTGCCATTACCATGATCCACCCCAAAAAAATTTAAATAAATTCTCCTAATCCTGACATTCATGGGGATACTACATTTCCGTACATCATTCATTGTTTGAACCCATAGTAGGGCCAAGAAACAATACCACATATTTTGCATTTGTTTATCCAACCTAAACAATTGAGTACTGTCCGTGATACTTTTTTTATTTGCACTAACAAACAATTTTGAGGACAAGCTTTCGGGGAGTGTCCTCTTCTTCAGGCAAAGCAGTACTGATCAGTACTGCTTGGACCTGAAGAAGGGGACACTCCCCAAAAGCTTGTCCTCAAAATTGTTTGTTAGTGCAAATAAAAAAAGTATCATGGACAGTACTCAATTGTTTCTGTCGCAAGTGCACTAATACGGCTACTATCACCTTTATCCAACCTAAAGACACTGACACTATAGTGACTCTGACACTGTATCATTTTTATAAGACACACTGACCCCAAGTCCTGATCATTTTACACTTTTTCATTTAGTTATTGCTGAGCAGGGGGGTGGGGACAGGAAGAGTTCCTGTCATCTGTGCTGTGTTTGTCTCCGTCACGGCAGAACAGAGAACTGGTCACTCCTAATTAACATTTTACTCACAGACTTTTTTTGCTTACATTTCTCTCCTGTCTAGAAGAAAAAGATACAATTGGGGGAATTAACAAAGAGTGGTGCAAGCCTAATGCATGCCTGCAAAAGCCTGCAAAAGTCCTTTTAACCGCTTGCCGACTGCCAAGTACGGTGGCAAAGCGGCCTCTCTGTGTTGGATCATGTATCTGATACGTGATCCAGCTGCTCTGGGTAGGGGGCGCATGCGCCTGCTGCCTTGGCTGTGCTGGGAATAGTTACAGCACAAGCCAATCAGCGGGTACCAGCCAATGATTGATGACTCAGACTCGCCGATCGGTGAAGCGGATGACAGTTCAGAGCCCTGTGATTGTAAACCACTTAGAGCTCTGTCCTGATAGTGGGGATGTGCCCGTGTTTGTTTCTCTGCAAAGCAGGGAATTAAAAAACAGCACATCCCTAAGTAAAATCAGCACACAGTAAACATACCAAGCATGGTTAGGCACACAGTTATCCCTTTGATTGCCCCAGATGTTAACCCCTTCCAGTCCAGTGTCCTTAGTACAGGGTTAGTGTATATTATTAGCACTGATCACTGTATTAGTGTCACTGGTGATGTCAGTGTCAGTCAGTTCCCACAAAGTGTCAGATTGCCCGCTATAAGTCACTGATCGCCGCCATTACTAGCATAAAAAATAGCTTAATTAATTAATGAATTAATTAAAATTCCAGTATATATAGCATAGTTTGTAGACGCTATAACTTTCGTGCAAACCAATTAATATAAGCTTACTGGGAGTTTTTTTTTACCAAAAATATGTAGCAAAATACTTTATGGCCTAAATTTATGAAAGAAATTAAATTTTTGCTGAAAAAAATGTGCATTTGCTATTTTGTTCCTGCAGGAGCCTGGAAAGTATTGTACCCATGATCATTGGATAAGGGGTGTAATGTCAGGCTTCTGCAGACAAGCCCTGTAACATATTCCAAAAGGTGAATTTATCCTTTACAGCTAAATCATCAGCATGAAACCCAGGAAACTAACATCCACAAAAGGAGAGGTAGCTACCAATAATAACAGCCCCCATACTTTCCTAATGACAGAGTTCCTTTAATGCTCAAACCCTGAGAAGTCTAATGTCTATTGAAGTGCAAGCTGGATATATTTTTACCCACCACCTGTAATTTTCATTATGTGCTAGTAAGGAAACTACATACTGTAGGTTTATTGAGTCACATTTTTGTTTCCCTGCCTAGGGCACTAGTTGGATCTGTTAAGTGTCAGCTCTTCAGTGGCAGGAGTCATGCTTAGTTGAAATCAAAATGCTTAAATAGATTCCAGAGAAAGGGATACAAGATTACTCCATAGGAATGGTCCTACAAACCTTTCCTGGACAGGCCCAGCATATTTAAGAAAAGGAACAAGTGAAGGGGGTGTTCTAGATGGTTTAACCATTGCGTGCCACTTGCTCCTACACTATGCTGTAAAAATGTAAGGCAAAATAAAATTATAGTCTAGTTACCCAAAAAATATATATTAAACACATACTCTACTTATTTTTCTTAGCTAGTGCTTTAATTAAACAACATTCTTCATTAAGGAAAGGTTTTACTTTTTAATGTCTTTTGAGGTTACACAAATATTTAGGTGTATCTGCTAGTGTGGTTCCTGGTTATAAGCCATTGGAAATATGGTTGAGCTGGATGGACTTTTGTCTTTTTTCGGCCAGACTAAATTTGTAACTATACCTATTAGCAGTTTAGTGTCATATTTAAAAGCCTGCATTTAATTCAACTTATTTTCTTTTTCCATTAAACTTTTTATAAATGCATCACACAGCAGAAAGAATTTGGAAATCACATAATCCAAAGAAGCATGGACCTTTCAAACCAATCTCTTGTTACGCAATTTATCATTGTAGGCTTTCCTGATCTTGGTGGATCTGAGGCCTTGTTGTTTCTTCTTCTGAGTATCAGCTTTATTTTTACCTTGAGTGGCAATATTACAATAATTGCCCTTATCTGCACTCACCGCCAGCTTCATGTTCCTCTCTATATATTTGTTGCTATACTCTCCTTCTTGGAAATCTGGTACACCACTGTCACTGTACCAAAAATGTTGACAAATTTGCAAAATGTAAAGACAATCTCCTATGTTGGTTGCTTATTGCAGATCTACTTTTTTCATAGCCTTGGTATTACAGAAACCTATATTCTAACAGCAATGGCTTTTGACCGCTACTTGGCCATATGCGACCCTTTACGGTATCCATCTGTAATGACTACTGCGTGTTGTTTTCAAATGGCAGCTTGCTGTTGGGTTATTGGCTTCCTTGGACCTTTAACTCAAGTCATTTTGTTGTCTCATCTTTTCTTATGTCGTTCGAACCGAGTTGAACATATCTTTTGTGACTTTGCTCCATTGATGAGCTTGGCCTGTTCGGACATTGCACTTAATGTCAAAGTAGACTTTGTAATCAATTTCTTTATTATTTTTGTCTCTTTTACTTGCATTCTTATGTCCTATTTTAAAATAATTTCTACTGTTTTAAAAATAAAGACAGCAGAGGGTAGGAAAAAGGCATTTTCAACATGTGGAGCTCATCTAACAGTTGTCTTTCTTTTTTACGGAAGCGTGTGTTTTATGTATGTTAGGCCAGTCAAAATTAATTCTCCAAACTATGACCGTGTAATGGCTGTAATTTACTCGGTTTTAACACCAATGTGTAATCCAGTTATTTATAGTCTAAGAAATCAAGAAATTAGAAAAGTTCTGAGACAGAAGTTAGCAAAGTTATTTTAAATTTTTTTTTTAAAGGCAAGGTACATCCAACTTAATAGAGTTATATATTTTAAAACACATCAAAAAGATATTTAAATTATGGATATAGATCACCCACTGTTTTTGTATTACTAAAGAACTCCAATGGAAAGACCTCTTCACTTGAGTTTTTAGATCTGTCCCTGCTCTATTAAATGGGGTCTCATCTCTGTTGTATTATCAAGAGCCTTAATGTTTTTATTGCTTTATCATAACCCAACAATGATAGAGTCCTTGTTACGACCAAGGCAAGTGAGCAGACCCAGGAACAAGGGAGCACTAATCTTGTTGGATTTCCCATAAGTAATATACTGGTTTATGATTTATCCTTCCAGTGTCTCGCTAAAAACAAAATGTAGGTTTCATGTGAATGCACATGAGCAGGTGGACTTTCTAATGCATGTGATTCGAAGACCATGATTTAAGAATGGACACTGTATGACGCAGTTTTAGCTTGAATAAATTTAAAAGATATAACTTGCCTTAATGTGTCTCATTTATCAAACTGTATGAAAGAAAATGAACTGGTACCATATGTAGCAACCAGTATATTATGCAAAATGGTATGAAATACCTCATTAGGTGTCATGGGCAAAATCGGAGTATAGTACATTTGCCAGTACAATCATCATTGAACATTTATGAATGCAGCTACAAAACTCCCACACCAATGTTGGTCATATTTACAGGATCTATAATGCAAAGTTAAAAAAAGGCATCCCCTACCCAGACACTATTAGCTGTGCGCAACATGCATGCAAGTTTGTATACTCTATGGCAGGGGTGTCAAACTGGCAGCCTTCCAGCTGTTGCGAAACTACAAGTCCCATCATGCCTCTGCCTTTGGGAGTCATGCTTGTAATTGTCAATCTTGCAATGCCTCATGGGACTTGTAGGTTGGCAACAGCTGGAGGGCCGGCATTTTGACACCCATGCTCTATGGCAAGGGAAAAAACAGCCAGCATATCTTTTAGCATTGTGAGATGCTTTGAGAGAGGTCACCAGAAATAAAGACCTCAAAGCCCTGGATCCCAAATCTGAGAAACTGAGGCTGTTCAGAATATTCAATACTCATAAAGGGCTGATGGCATGGGTGATTTTGGGCCAGTTAGCTGTTTTCCATGCAAACATTTACCATTTTACAGCATGTATATAAGAAATAGTTTCTGCAAGCATCCATATGAATGTGCAAATAACCAGAATAAATAAAGGTAAAGAATAAAGTTATGAAAATGGTCCAGAGAGGGGTGACATGGTGCCAGGTAATGAAGCCTGTTATAGATTGTTGTTTGTGTCTTTTTAACCACTTACCCTCCTTAGGATTTACCCCCCCTCCTGACCAGGCAATTTTTTGTGTTATGGCGCTGCGCTTTTTTAACTGACAATTGCACGGTCATGCATTGCTGCACCCAAATGAAATTATGTCCTATTTTTCCCACGAATAGAGCTTTCTTTCGGTGGTAATTGATCACCTGTGCATTTTTTTTGTGTGCTATCAAAAAAAAACTGACAAGTTTGAGAAAAAAACAATATTTTTGACTTTTGCTATTAAACATGTCCAGTAAAATAATTTAAAAAAATCACATTTCGTCATAGATTTAGGCCAAAATGTAATATGTTACATATCTTTGCTAAACAAAAAATCCCAATACGTGTAAATTGGTTTACGTGAAAGTTTTAGCATTTACATATGGCGGTATAGATACTGGAATTTTTTTTTTCTACTAGTAATGGCGGTGACCAGCGACTTATAGCGGGACTGCGGGACATTCTGACACTGGGGGGGGAACTGGCTTAGTGTCACTGACATCCCCAGTGACACCAATACAGTGATCAGTGCTAAAAAAAAAAGCACTGACACTGTACTAATGACACTGGGCAGGAAGGGGTTAACATGATGGGCGATCAAAGGGTTAACTGTATTCAGGGAGTGTTTCACTAGGGGGCAGTGTCTGCGTGCTTCACTGTAATCACACTGCTGTGGATGTGCTGTGCGTCCAGAGCATTGTGCTCGAGCTGACAGAGAGGAGAACTGTTGGTAAACAAAACAGTCCTCCTCCCCGTTGGAGATGCTTGTTAATCACCGGGTGCCGGCGGGTGATCACCGGTCGGGAACTGGTGATTAACAGCAGCGGCCGCAAATGGTGGCGTGGGTAAGGAATGCACACCCCCTACCCAGAAATGCAAAATCACACATATATATATATGTGTGATTTTGCGCACCCCTGCCGCCCTGTAGCAGTCTATCTGCTATAGGGCAGCTGGAAATTGTTTCTATAGAACAGTTATCAATTAAATAGTACAGAAAAAAACTTACAAATTACATTTACTGTTTTTGGCCCCCACTCTAAACACTTAAACTCTAACTCCAGTCCAGATTTCTTCCCCATTTTTTCTGACACCAGTCAACTGGTCAGGAAGAAAAGGTTAACTATCTTCTCAGAACACAAACTGCAATAATTTACTGACTGAAGTCCCAAACAGTCCTCTAACTGCTAGAAAATATATTAATAATATGCCTATATCTCCCTTGGCAGATTTGTCTGATATGCCCATAGACTATAAGTGAGGAGATTTTTTGACTGACATCTGTCAAATAGACAGGATGTAAGTATCTAACCCTTGCACACAAAAATTACAAAACTTGTGCAGTCTGCTGCTGGCTGTTCCATGTAGCTGCCTACACTGTTATGCTGGGGGCCAAAGCAGCCTATGTAAAATCCTCTACTCATGCTGGCTTTGCTGTGGCCTTGAGTGAGACTTCTCCCCCCTGTTCACCCTCTCTTCCTGGCAGCATAGCGAAGGGCAAATCAGGGAGCAGAAGAGTTAGCCAAGTAATCTCATAGACTGTAATACAGAGCGCTTGGGATCATAGAGGATTTTGTCCAAAATGTAATATCTATAATGCAGAAATTGACTTTCTGAACTACGAATCCAGATAGACTCTGAGACTCAAGAGGAGGACACAGGACTGCTAGGAACATGTATTCCCTTCTAGAGACTACTTTACTGTGTGAGATGGCTTCAGAACTACAGATCCCAACAGTCCCAGAGGATTAGGAGAAGTAAATAAAGAACCAGACCACGGAATGAAGCAGACATCCATGGAAAGTACTGAGAGCCCCAACACTGTGCGACCTATTCATCTTCACCCACAGCCCTACAGAGTGATTTGGCTGGCCATCATCTGCACCAACAGCCATATAGAGCGGGTTGACTGGAACTCAAGCCACCATTCCACAAGGGGCCTCTCTGCCATTGGAACCCAGCGCTGAAATGCAGGATTGGTAAAAGGGTTACCAAACTACCAAATGCTCTCCACCACAAAACCTAGTGTGACTTCTGTTACATAGTTTGCCATCAGGCTTTTTAGACAGTACCATACTTAACCCCTTCCTGCACGTGTTGCTTGCCCTTTTCATTACAGTTAAGCCTTGTTCAAATTGTTCCTACCAAAGATCTTCCCTTAAACTCACCTTCTGGAACTGGTAGTATCTGGATGTCATTTTGCACCACTGAAGGGACCCCAACCATGCTGGCAAAAATAACTTTTTTTTCTAATTTTGTGGACATTTTTCCTGTCTGTTTCACAGTATTTGCATAGACTTTAGCAATTCCTCACCTTCCTGAACATTGAAGTCCTGCAGCCAGACTGAGCAGACCTAGCAGAGTCACTCCGGGGCCTAAGGCAGCATAGCCTCCAGAGGTTTATACTTTCCGTTTCTGGCTGCCCTTATGATATTTTAGGTGACTATGTTACAGTTTAAGCTGATTAGTAAAGCCTGGGCCCAGTTATTCTGTATTTAAGTGCATTGCTACCATTGTTAGTCATTTCACCATTTATTCTTGCCTGCCTTTACCCACTTTATTTTATGGCAATATATTAAGCTTGTCTTACTAATTGGTCTGGTTGCATTCTTTAAAATAGTATATTAGATGGGTACTAATTTCACTGTCAGTGATTTCTCTAGTGCTACACTTGAAACAGCTTATCTGAATTTATATGTATGTATACCATGCTGTAGTATTTATATCTTTTGATGAAGAATTATGGATTAATATATTTATTATTTCTTTCATTGTAATTAGGTAGACACTTCTGTTCTTTTCTCCTCTTTGTTCTCCTGAAGAAGCAGGTGGTGGTCCTTGCAAAACACGTAGAGATTTGTTTTGCCTTCCTCTGGATCAACTGTGGGTATAGGATTATAACTTTTTTTTTTTTCTATGGTTGAACAGGATGGACTTTTGTCTTTTTTCAGCCAGACTAACTATGTAACTATGTACGGTGACGAAGACGTTCATACAGTACCTGAAGAGTTTCTGTTACTGGCGACAATTTTTACAAGAGGCTCATTTGTTATGTATAATACATGTGTTATAGAGGAGTAATCTATGCAGCTAGCTTCTATAGTTGTATGTCATACATTATATGTTTGGAGAATGCCACTTTTAATCTTTTATATGGCTACATTTTGTGCTGTCCCCCTATTTTATACGTATAACAAATGTGTATGTGTATTCCTTGGGCACCTCAAACGTCGACAGTTTGACTGTTAAAAAAAAAAAGCTTCTTCTTTATACAGTGGTGTAGGCATGCTTTATAAAGATAATTCAACTATTGCTGGAGTTATAGAAATTGTATAAGACCTAACTATGTGTAATTGAAAACCTAGAATGCAGATGTGTATTGTGAAATCATATAGGCAGACATTTTATGATCATTAGTAGGCCTCACTTAAGACTTATCTTGTTGATGGATTTTATGACTTGTAATTAGTCATATATGACTGCCCACTTGACAGGTTGCCAGCGTTCTGCTTATGTTTTCTGTCAACACTTTACCTTGCGTTTATAACCAGATTGAGCAAACCTGATAAATCATATTTAGATAACCCTCTGCCCTGCTTAATTGTCTCACCTAAATGTTTGATACTGCACGGGTTCTGCTAAAAACAGTTTAGTAAACTTTTATAGCCTTAAATAAATATTATTGTGTCTAAAGCTGAAGCTAAAGATGTTCAATCTTAGTATTTGATTGCTGGATATAAACTGTAGGCATGATACCCCTTTCTCCACTCAGTTTGGGGTCCTCAGGCCTCATTATCTTTACATGGCCAATTAAACTGTGGAGGGTAGTAGGTACTGTTTTCTATATGTGATATAAGCTCTGTTCAAGAGTGGTTGAAAATGAGGATACCTAATGGTGGTCCAAGCTGAAGTGGCATTTTCTATACCAAGTGTTATCGCTCTGGAGCAAGAACTTCTGTCTTTGGGACAGGCTAAAAAGTGGACTCTGACACAACTTTCAAAAGTCACACTCCATCCTGAGTGGCATGTGACTCCATTTCTTTCTGCAAAGCTTCTCTCTGTCACAGCCTGCAATGATCATCAGACATTGCAGGATAGAAATTTGCAGACCTCCCTTAGCCTGTTACAAACTGTCAGGGGGCAAGAGGGGCCCAGAGGCAAGCTACCCTGTTTCATCAATCTTTTTCTGCAGTTGGTAGTGAGGACTCTTCTCACTCTGTCTGATGTCCTGCAGCAGTCTTGGAAACAAAGAGGGAATAAGGCATGCTATGTAGTTTTAGGTGCAGCATGGCCTCACCTCCATTGCTGAGGACAGAGATTGGGGAAATGCTCATCAGGACCAATAGTGACAAACAGCTATCCTAATGTAATTGTCAGCCTTGACCAAGGGTCTGATTTATGAAATGTAAAGTTATATACTTCCCCTATCATCTTTAGTTCCATAATGGATGCCTCCTGTCTAAAAGAATGGTCTACAGACAATTACTTGCAGACAACAGTTTTGATACAGATACATAAATCTGTACTGCTACAGAATGTACAAGAATGTCTTTGTAATGCACAGGTGGACCATTCATACGCAAGATCACAGAATACGCAGTTACATAGCCAGGTTGAAAAAGGACAAAAGTACATCTGGATCAACAAATAGAAAAAAAACAAAGAAATAGAAAACCTCCATATACACAATCTTATACCCACAGTTGATCCAGAGGATAGCAAATAACCCTAAAAAGCACTGTCTAATTTGCTTCAGCAGTGGAAGAGAAACATTCCTTCCAGGTATCCTAGAAGGCAATTTGATATTCCCTAGATCAGGATTTCTCAACCAGGGTTCCATGGTACTCTAAGGTTCCTCCAGAGCTTGCTAGGGGTTCCTTGAGCAATTTCTGCCTCTCAGATAAGTTCCAACTGACACAACTGATTTTTTTAACTTATCTGTAAGAGGATGATTATTCCCAATGCCCACCAGTGTAAGGAGCATTCTTCCCACTGGCCATCACAATAATGTATCATGAGTTGTAGGTATAGTAATATTTAGTAGAGGTTCCCTGAGACCTGAAAGTTTTTTTTTTAAGGGTTCCACTGTGTTGAAAAGGTTGAGAAAGGCTGCCCTAGATCAACAATCTCTGGTGCTATTACCTATAATTTACATTGTCTAGTTATATTTTGTGCATTTAGGAATGCATCTAGATTTTTTTTTTAAATTCAAACTCTTTTTATTAAAATTATAAAGTACAATTGACAGAGCAGTTTGACAAAAAGGAAGTAGAGGAGATAGGCCATTACCAAAGCAATGTTGTAGAATATCTATCACATTCTCCATATTATAAAGAAGTAGAATCAATATATTACAGAGTGGAAAATTATCCTTTTTTTTGTCATAACAACAGTTCTGTCATTGCTAGTAATACAGAAACCATCAACTTAACAAAACAAAAAGTGGGCAAATTTAATGCCACTAGAGTGTTGAACATTATGGGGACATTATAAGTCTTACTATTACCAGAAAGTATAAAAATCATCGAGAGAAATGTTTTATTAGAAGAGTAAGACAAATAACCCTAACTTATATCCCCTAGAGTTGTAGAATCCTCTCCATGAGGAGCTAGGCCTGGAACATTCAACCAGCTGCTCCAAACTAGTTTGAACTTGCACAGCGTTTTGCAGTGTCTATAAGTGAGTTGTTCCCTTAACAATTGACTTACTCCATCCATTGTTTTTGGGTTGGGGCATAGGCGACATCCAATGTCTCACAATGAGCTTCCTGGCCAAGTATACCAAGCGAGTCACCATAATATATGTCCTGGGCTTATACAATTCCGTGTCCAGGGCACCCAGGAGACATATCAGGGGATTCAGAGAAATAGTACATTGGGCAA